TTTTTTTTTTTTTTTTTTTTATTTTAATAATAAAAAAGCACCTTATTAATTATTATTACATATGTTGTCGGTGGTGATATAATAATTAATAATGGATGCTAAATTAAATCAACTTTATAATAAACGACATTCACATTCTTCACATACTTCCACAGTAGTTATATATACCTTACTGACTTTACATCCGACATCATCTTTAATAACAGAAACATTTTCACCGACAAATGTTATTACAACAATGATTTCTGCGGGTTTGTATTAAATAATAATAATAAATGATTTTTTTGTACAAGGAATAAAAAATTTATTCTTTTTTATTCCAATATTAAATTCTTTTTTAGGACCACAAATACCAACAACATCATTACTACCAACAACAATATCATCAACAATACCAACAATAACTCCTACGAATACAAATAATACACCTTCAACAAATCCAACGGGAGGAAATTCATCCTCTCCAATAATACAAGAAAGTGATCGTATTCCTATAATAATAGTGATTTCCACTTTTGTTATTCTTTTACTATTGTCTCTCTTACTTGTTTATGTACGTAAAAAACGTAAGGAATCTCAACAAAAAGCTTTGGCATCTGCAATAGTAGCTGCAGAAGCAGGAGAATTACCTACTAGGCCTAGGACTATATTACGAGATTCACCTTCCCCACCTCCCCCTCCTCCCCCTCCTCCTCCAACTCCAACTCCTCTTCCACATGCATTATTAAATGATGATGATATACCACCACCACCACGATATAAAATATCTACATTACAAATAGAACCAATGACAAGACGTTTAACCATGAATTTAAGTCAAAAAGGTAAAAGTATAATAGTAAATGAGGACAGGAGACCAAATCAAATTCGAAGATGGAGCGAAACAACAGATGGAGAGACAAAAATTGAGGAAGAATGTCAGGAAGTTATTAATGTTACAAGTTTAAAGGATGATGATGATGATAGTAGTATTGGAGAAGGTGATAGTAAAGGAAAAAGTTTTTCTAGACGATTTTCAGCTAGAAAAAGTTTTTGGAAATGATAAAACAATTTTTTTGGACAATTTTTTTTTATTGTAATGTAGATTTTTTTATTTTTTATTTTATTTTTATTTTTTACTGTACAAAATTCAAAAATGGACAATTTTTTTTTTTTT